AGTATAGAGCACGTAGGATGTTCACATATTTCGTGGGAACACATTTGCGTGCAAGTATTTCGAACAGAATCGATCGATCGACTGAATCGAAGGCATTATTGAAATCGAGCAACACAGCTATTGTCGGTCTGCGGTATGAGTGGCGCTGCTCTAGCACTCGCTGCTAAGTGAATATACGGTTTATACAGCCACGTCTTAGACGGAAACCGGCCTGAGCTTTCCTACTCCGAGATTCCCGTTCCGCAGTGAGGCGACGAACGAGAATCGAGGCCAGTAATTTTGTCACAACTGACGTTAGACTAATACCCTTGTGGTTAGAACAGTCTGTGCGACTGCCCTTCTTGTATATTGCCACTATAATCGATTCGTTCCAATTAGCCGGGACAGTCCCTTCCTTCCAGATACGTTCGGACAGGGTGGTCAGTGCTCTGCAGAAGACCTCATCTCCATCCTTAAATATCAAGTGTAATCCCGAAGGAATAAGACCGGGGAGGCGTGTGCATGGGACCTATGTTTGCTCAACGGAGCCGGCTCTCCATGCTTCAAAAAGCAGAGCTGAAGCATTCATGTCAATTCCGGAAATCCTGCGTAGCAGACGTAAACAAGGCTGTGGTTGGGCTGTAGCTCGTATCACACTGAATTTATGGAACTGTTCTTTGAACTTAGCGCGATCACGAGGACGGTGTACCTCGCCCCCCAGCAAAGATCAACTCGTTTCCGGAGCCTGTACAGGCGTGGTGGTGGGTACTAGACAGGTAGGCGCATCAAGCGCTGCCACAATGAGAATATCTATCAACAGCCAATGCATGCAATGCATGAAACTCAATACGCAGATACACGTACAGGAGAACTGCAACGACGACGCGGAGCATGTACTACATCAGCCGCGGGGTTCGTCTATGTTAGCAAACCGACTGGGTGAGGACGCAGCGCACCTAACAATCACTGTTCTGAGTATACATAGATATTCAATTGGCTCGTCGGATTTGGGTGCCGGTGGCAAATTAAACCCGCTTGGCTCAAGTTCACCTAACCGCATGTGCTAAAGCACCATGCGTTCGACGTCCATGGCTTACAATCAATCGGTGTCTTGCATGCAGACATTTCCCTTCACGAATTTCAATAAAGCAAGAAGAAACAACATTATAACAGAATTTACTGAATTCAGTAATTTCGCGTATTCTCTTCAGACTAGTGTTTTGGAATGCTTGTTGAGGGTGGGATTAAAGCTTAAGCCCTCAACGTGTCATCTCTTGAAAAGGGAAGTGGCGTTCTTAAACACACAACAATGACTGCTCTGGGATATTAAACTCAGTACCCTAAACTCGGTTATCTGAACGGGTACTCTGTAATGAATTTATGTGAACTAACAGCTTTCGAATTAGAATCCACAATGATGACGCAACTTTCTGAAGGCGAGTGATCAATCCCATCCACCTTTACTTATAAAGAAGAACAACGTCATGTACAGTGTATATTTATCCCTGTAGTCGGCTAGTTCCCTTAGCATTAGTTCGATTACATTGGTCAAGCATTTGGCAAACTGCTGATACGGTGCGCTTACCAATAAAAAATGGTGGGCTGGGTTTTCGGCAGTCATGATAAAGAAGGAAGACGTGATGCTCAAGCGATTCGCCGTATCAAATATTTTGCGCGGTTCCATTCCAAAGTTGCTAGGGACTTCGGTTCACGATGATATCAACAAAGTTTCTAGCACTAACTACAAGTCCAAACTTATATCTGAAGCTTTCAATGCACCATTAGTTAACTGGCTACGGCTTGGACCTACCGTCTTAACAGGACTAGAACAAATGGTTTACTCCATCCACTTCAATGGCTGCATCACATATGTCAGAGGGTCCACCGAAAATGTCAATACCCTAGATTTAGCATTCACCATGAGGATCCATTCCACTTGTGCACTCATTGACAGTCCACTCTAGAGCTGTGACCACAACACGGCGTTCTTTATCGTGAACATTGAACGAACTAAGTCACTCAAACCACTCATAACATTCACCGAATTAACTGGAATGTATTTAAGGAACTTATCTGCACCATGAATTGGAAGCCATCATTTTGAATCAACAACTCGACTATGACTACCGGTGAATTTGTCAAGGAGCTTGCTGCGTGTACTGATGTGCTAACACGTGGTAAAGAGCCGGACCTATAGACAATACTACAAACATCCACTACTGAACAAGGCCGAAAGCGGCCTCCAGTTCCGGAATGACACGATTTCGCATCAATTTCTTGTACGAGGATTCTGGAAAGCGTAAGGCACTAGTACTGCGAAACAACGACCTACCGGTCGCATTACCGGAAAACAAAAGTGGTCCCACGATCCTTTGACCAGTTAACCCAGGCCATACCATGAACGTTGCGCCATGTTATAGACGTGAAGCGCTGCATCGGCGTAGATTGCAAGTTGTCCAAAATTGTTGCTTTTCCTCACCGTGCAAACGGAAAACAGCCACATCGGTAAAAGGATTTCAAAGGACGTCCATGGCATTTAGAAACCTACGGCAAAATCGAGCCGCTTCTCCAAATTACATGGGTTTAAACCCTGCAATTGACGGGCACTGTACTTCCTGAATTGTATTTCCTTCAAAATCCTATGGACAGCATATCTGGTGGTGTCGTAATGCTGGGCGAGTTCACGAACTCTCCGATCGCAGCTTCTGGATACATTACGAATTACCACACAAGCAGAAAAGTCATCCGTGGTAATGCAAGACAATCCTGTCTTTTTGGCTTCGCAAACGCTCGCAGATTTCTCGAATTTTCTCACCCACACTCCCCATACAGACGAAAAACAAGCACTCGCTAATTAACAGGCAGGTAACACGAGTCGGATTAAGGGTAACTTGATGACGGCCGTATATGATCGTGATCCATCGCCCAGCCAGTGATCCGATAAACAAATGGCAAGAATTTCATCACTTCGTCTATTCATAACCTGATTGCTGTGTGTGTGCGTGTACTTTGTGGCCAGCCTTTCCTAACACTGGTAATGTCAGCGGTCGTTGCATTCACACTGACCTACGTTAGTGGTTTGGCTTTCAGTCCGCAGTCGTATCGGAGTCACGTTGTGGTATTCTTTGGATAATAAGTTCGGCTGAGTCTCCGCGCCAGTGGCCGTCAGACGATGCAGTTTGCAGTCGAGTCTCCACTTCACATGCGGTTCTACAAAACGGGCAGAAGGACAACTGTGACAGTCTTACGCGCAATCTCATGGACGCTTGCGCTCCTACACAGCGTGCCGATTGGATGGGTTCAGTTTACATAAAACGCGTCACGTTTCCCTCAGGCGCTCATTGATGCAACAAACTGGGATGCCACTGGACCAATATTCTTATACTGTCCGTACATTTCAACTCTTATTTTCGTTTCACATACTGTAGACGTTTGTTTTTACATTTTGATTTTTTCTATTATTTTTGGTGGCTGGTTTGTAACGCAAAATGCAGGCTTTCTCAATTCTTCTTTTGCAAATCTGCGATGGGAATGGTTCCCAGCTTCTTTTTTCTTCCAGCGGAAGCCAGAGCCAAATCTTAAATTCCCTAAGGGAATGGATCATTTCTGATATCCCTCTTGCAATATCGCAAACTACAATCAGCTTGCGTTTTTGTTATATCAGTTTGATGCTGTGGTGTTTATGTTTTACGTTTCGAAACATTCGCAAAGCAAAATGCTTCTGAGGTTAGGCGACGAAACCAGAATTTTTGATGCATCACAACAATTATAAAATTTATTGATGAGTAATTCATCGGTTTTAACTCACAGAGAGCTTTTGACGAGATGTAAGCATTTTCTCTTTATAACGGAGCTGTTTGAGATGTGTGAAGAGGCGATGGGTCTTTTTCTAGCTTTAGTTCTGATTCAATGCCTCCTAGTATATGCGTCAAATGTGATCGCACGAGTGGAACAAATCAGATTCTTGTCGATCTGTGCAGTTCATATCAGGTAATCCATCAAATCTCATACTTTCTGTCCTTATTGTCATTCAACGTGTTTGGTACAGCAAACAGGCCTCCTCGAAAGAATACTAACACGAATACAGTAAACAACTTAGACAGATTTTCTATCTTGGTCCGTCATGGGGCTGCTTTATATAGTGGAGGATTAGCCCGCAACTTGTTCCTGGTGATTTTGAAGTTGTCTAACGCAACTACCTACCTGGGTTTGAGAAGTCGAGTGAGACACTTGCACCAACACCGCTCAGACTGCCGGTTGAACTCAAGTCAAGACTTTAGCGCTCAAATCTTCATTTTTATTATTGCTCCTCTATCAATAGGTTGGGAAATCTAGCCTACTCAAACTTAAGTATATTCAAGGGTGGGATGATGAGATTAGTATTTCCGATTATCATAAACTTTTTATTCCTTCTTAAGTGCAACGCCATAGATATCACACTGGCCTTTGCTGCTGTCATTCAAAAGTCAATTCAGCCGTAACTAGCACAGCATCAAGGCACGGACAAGTTGTGATCCTAGTTGACAAGCTGCACACCATCAATGTCTGCGTTGCATAAATTGCGAGCATTATTGACGAAAGCAGAGGTGTGTGTAGTAGAAACTTAGTCAACGGGTGACAAAGAGCGAAACCTCGGGATAGTACTATCAAAAACCAGTCGTTTGGCTTTCTCCTAATGGTTTTCTTAATATTACAAATCGTAATATTCCCCTCTTTCCCCTGGAGTAAGGAATTATAGTTTAAGTGCGTACCTGGCGTTCTACAATATGCTTACTTCAAAGTTACCATTAGGGCGTTGTTAAAAACATTATTTAAAACGCCGTATTCAACAGAGCAGAATATTACAGGTTTGCCCCTATATTTTGTCAGTAGGATTGATGAAATAGAAGAATTGCTGCCGAGGCAGATGGAACCGAAAAATTCTGCACAGACCTGCCATCTACACAGCCAAACAAGCAACAGCTGGATCTCCACAGGAGACATAATCGCACGCATGATCTTTTGCATTCTTCACCCCATAGGTACGAGAACCATTATTCAGATGGAAGGAAATCATTTAATTCTTTCGAGTCCTCCAGAGATCCGGGCAAAATCAATAAAGAATATTCCTCATCAAAGACAAGCAGGTGTTCGCCTAATCCTCCAAACTATAGACAAAGGCAGCTTCGCAACGACAACAATGAAAGCAGTTATGAAGAACTAACGAATGAACTGCAGGAAGGAGTTTCTTCTGCTTCTCTATCAAATACTGTCTTCGAGGAGGTGTCCAAGGCCCCCATAGACCCTGCTATTGCATTTGAAAACCCAACCAAAGCTCAAGGTGTGACCAACAGGACCGAGAAACCGCTAAATCCATCGGGTAAGCCACGTCCGGAAAGTAAACATCAATCCAAAAATACGCTCTAATTGTTCCAATTTATTAGCTGAATTCATGACACGTTAACAAAACCTATCATACTGGATATCACGTGAGGTGGGCTGTGTGTAGCTGTACGAAATATTACAGACGGATGCAACATGTGTAACCTCACTCATGCACATGGAACTACTTAACGGAGATTAGTTAGGAGGTTAATGTACCATTGTAATAATATGTGGATATCTATCATCAGTCACGCACTTCGGCTTCCCTCAGGAACATGCTCACGTATCTTGTTATATCGTGAGATTGCACAATCTACCAGCAGTCCAAGTGTCTATTCGATCTACCAGTGTAACTGCAGAGCAGCGGAATGATTGCATTACACAGTTAGTCACCTTATTTGGGTTAATGTTCTAATTTCAGATAGCAAACATTCAGGTGACTTCTTGGGCTTCCAACTCGCCAAATGTGACAGTTATAGTTAGAATATCATAACGAAATAAACAAGGTGATTCGTAACTAATTGGAGTTTGTGTGTTTTCATTAATCCGAACAGCCTGATGGCTCTTCTAACAAACAGCATTACAAGTACCTAAGTAACCAGTACATTTGATGCACAGAACAGCCTTGGTGTATCAAAGTAACAATGAAGAAACTAAGTGATAGTGTTGTCGTATTGCCAGCCAGATATAATGTTTGGACAGTAGCATGTAGAGAAAGAGACAATAGTGATTATAACGCAGGTCACATTACTAATTAAGCGAGATCGTGTCGCTTGGAGGAAGTCACCATATCATTTATAGTATAACATTATAAGGCAGTAATTAGTTGACAATTTTAGCAGGGCCTGGATCCATTTGCAGCTTGCACCAGGACCGACTAACTCCGTGAATTTCAGAATGGTGCAATTTCATTCAGTCACCTGCACCGCTTATAATAACTGCAGTATCCTACATTTTTGGCTTGATGTCGGAAAGGAAAGCAACCGTGGTCCCATGCTTAGCTACTGTCTGCTGGCAGGCGTCATTTTGTTGGTGCCATCGTTAGTACCAAGCGAATGAGTCTACACTTTGAACTGAATGTATAGTTGCTTTCAATTATGGAGCAGTTCTTTTGTTCACATCAACAGGCATTAAATAAGCCGTGAATTTGCGTGGCCCTATAAAGGCCGATCGGCTTGCATCCAGCCGACACTAAACAAGTCTTAAACCTCATGGATACTGCTCAGCCTGTCACAACTGGGATTGCTACAAAAGCTTGCTGTTACAAAAGTCTCATGAATAATTATTTGGGAGGGAAACAAGCCCGTAGCAAGATGTTGCTGTTTTTGTGGCACAATGTTTCCAATAGGCAACTACGTTTAATATTTGATATAAAAGGACACTTGCTACACTTGTGTATGCAGTCCTTTGGCCACCGTTTCCTGCCGACTTTACAATGGCATTCGATTTAATTTTGATTAGGGTGGTACTACGGTATCACTTTGCCCGATGGAGCCATATACCATCAATGACCACGTTAACTCACAGGTTGACTGGATTACTTACATTTATGAGGATATTTCCAGGCATTAAGGAGTAAGCAACCAAAGATGCTGAGTAAGAAAGACTTAATTTCAGCCTCACTTCTACCGTTAACAGCGAACATTCTAGCTTAAATACAGGAAATGCTAAAGAAATAGACACAGGCTGAAATCCTGTAATCGATTAATCCGAATGCTAACTCTAATCACTTAACTCCTTGTATTGGCATTGAAAGTAGCTTAAAAGGAATACGACGTTATTGTAACCCGACTGTTTTAGTAAGACATCACGAGCCAGTGGAATATTCCAGTTCACTCTCCCCTTAACATCAAAAAGAAAGCAGGCATTGGCTAAACTGATAGTATCGTTACCAAAATTTTGCAGCGCAACTACCATTTAGACTTTTCTGCAAAAGCATGGCACCGCAACAAGCACGGCAGGATACTGTAAGCTGAGTGGACCTTATAACTAATTCAAACAGAGTTGGCACGATTAATTGGGAGAGGATTTGTTTCGCTGCGGTTAAACTATGCCGTGCCAGTTTCGAAGACGCGTGTCTTCCGAAAACGTTTGAAAGGCTTCGTTGCTTTCTTGTCCGCATTAAAGGCATAATCTGCAATCAGTTGTTACTTCTCGCCCGTTTAGTTAATTTCTGGTAAGCATGAAAATTACCGGAAAGCTTTACAGTGTAAAAGAGGGCGTCCGCATAACTCGTTGTATTTGTGCGTCAATGAAAAAGGTTTCCAAATGTGGTGCGTTATAGTCGTACTGCGGCTTTCTTCAAGCGATTTGTGCGACAACAGCATACGCAATACACATATTCAGCAAATTCATCATTGACGCTCTCTATCAACAGGTTTAGGCAAGTATGGAAAAGCACCAGACGCAGGCGTTTCGACATTCTGGGTCTCCTCATTGGTGCGCCTCCCAGCGGACAACTGCCGGGTTCCGCCCTTATGACTATCATGTCTGCATCTAGTGCCACTACACCATGGATGACAGCCGCGGACCTGTGTGATTGACAGTTGACTATGATATAGCCCGTAGTTCTGTTGTCTCAACCATGGACTGGCAACAGTCGAGTTGCGTGTTCGAGCCCTACCAGTGTCCGATGGAATGTGCACTTCCGACGATTCCCGAAAGGATGAAATGCGTGTCCAGTGCTTTTGAGTGGCATGTGTATAGAGCTTACCCTAGTCCTGACAAATGGAGTAACTATGTTCTCCTTCTTAATCACTCTACCAAACTTGTGAGCGAGGACAAATTAGTACACCAGCAAAGTCTAGAGGTAGAGTTTGGTGTTAACATAAAGCTTCTGTACAAATATATGAACAACGGAATGCGAACGGATGTGCTTAAACCGCCTAGGATACAATGTGCTACGATTTTCCGATGTGTTCCAAGCATTTGTAACATACCTGCCCCTTTCTTCCCGATGCCAGTATGTACACACTTCACGTTTAATTCAGCGACCATTTTGATGAAACTGCTATAATTGCGCACCCATAGTTCCCACGAAGTTTACAACATTCCCACAAAAGCACTGCAGGTGGTAGGAATGAGGATAGCTGAACCATTAATTAGATTTTTCCGAGGATGGCTGGACGAACAGCAGTTCCCTGTGGAAACAAGCCATTATTACCCCGATATGCAAAAGTGGTATTCGTTTATAGCCAGCCAATTATCACCCAGTGACTCTCCTCCCAGTGCTCTCTAAGGTGGTGGAATCGATCATAGCTGAGGCTGTAATGGGCTACTTTGAAAGATCTAACATCATAGCACCTGAGCAAAACGGATTCCGTCAGCATCGGTCATGTACTACCAACATACTGCTTGCCCGTGGCAGATGGACCGAGATAGCCGATAGTAGGACCGGCATTGACGTCATCTACCTAGACTTTTTGAAAGCATTCGACCACATAGATCACATCCTTTTCCAAAAGCTGCAAGCATCCGGAGTTGTAAACCCTATCCTTGGATGGAGCTGAAACTTCCTCTTTCAGCCGTGCATTCAGATTGGAGTTTGAGGTTCATTTTTTGACCAAATTGGTGTGGACTACGGTGTTCCACAAGGGTAGATTGTGGGGCCGCAGTTATTCTTGGTAATCATTAACAACCTTGCGATTGTCATGAGGTTACATTTCCTGCTTTTTCTGATAACATCAAGATATGGAGCGCAATCGACAGTAAGGAAGAGCACCATATGTTGCAATGAGACAGACTGCGCTTTTGAATGGTCAAAGCTAAATCTACTTCCGTTTAACACTGATAAGTGCAAAACCGTGCATGTCCATCACCAGCCCACGTACGCAAATAAGCTTGAGGACGATGTGCTGAACACGCCCTCACAAGAGCGAGACCTTGGGTTGGTAATCCAAGACGACCTCAGCTGTTCGGTGCAGTCCTTGAAGGCGTCCAAAACTGCGAACCAAAAAGTTGGTCTGTTACGGAAGGCGTTCGAAAGGTTCCATTCCTCCGGCTTCTCTCAAATGATGAATGCGTATGTGAGGCGCCATGTAGAGTACTTGATCCAGGCTTAGCAACCCTGGTTAAAACGCGACCTGGTTGCACTGTAGACCACACAGTGACGGGCAACGAAAAATATGAAGCGTTTGTTCCATCTAGAATATCATGGGCGACAGAAAGCCCTGGGAGTTTACAGGGGAAGATATCGCCCTCTACAGAGTGACCTCATCCGCGCGTTCCAGATTTCGAAAACCCCAGTCAAGCATGCCGCCACCTTCTGAAGTTTAGCTGCAACATAGAATTGTGGGGTCATAAGTTGTAACTTGCCACCCAATACAGTCATCTGGAGTGATGCCGGAATTATCTTTACCTTCGAGTTTGTCAATCGTGGAACTTTTGTCATTTACGCGCCCACGCTACCCATATTTTAAAAACCAATCGACGATGCTTTACATCATTTACATTGCTTGATCTGATTTCTATTCTTTGAGTGACGACAAGTTACATACCAACATTGTGCTCTATATCCCCACGAAATCGGGGTAGACGGATATACCTTTGTGTTAAGGTGGATAAAATGGTGAGTCCACAGATGCATTTTGCACTTTGTGTAAGTTCCTTGAACTAATATTATTCCCACAAACGACCTAACGGGACTAGTCAAGCCTTGACATTTTTTATCCGTATGATACAATTGCTCCATTTTTGCACCTTCCACTGCCATGCAAGTTACGCACTGTGCAGAGGAGAGTGGCTAGCATCACAAGCCAGGAATTTCCTCTGCACAGTTCGTAATTTGCACGGCAGTGGAAAATGAGGCGGGTTAAATCAATCAACTTTTAATCGCGCAAGTCCGCGGCTGTTACCCTTGGCGAAGTGGCACTAGCTGGAGGTATGCTGAAGTCATGTGGGTGGAATCCGGCAGGTGTCCGCTGGGATGCGCACCAATGACGGGACTTAGAATGTCGAAACGTCGACGTCTGGCGTTTATCCAAACTCGCCTAAGCC